CTTTGCATGCACAGCTTTGGAGTAAGGCTCTAGAGCTGAAATCTGGAATTACTTTGGGCAAGATACTTTACCTCCCCGCAAGCATCTGTTCCTCATCTGTAAAACAGGATTAAGAGCACTCCCTACTTCACAAGGTGGCTGTGAGGATTAATAAAATAATGAAAGGAGCTCCTGGCTGGCCTGGCATGTGGATAGAGCATGGTTAACAGTTTAAGTACAGCAGACACTCAGAGACCAGGAGGCCTGCAAAGGGTGCATCCTGTGGTCTGGATCTCAAATCCAGGGTCTAGTACAGCACCTGACATAGAACAGACACTTAGAAAGGGTTTTTTTTTTTTTTTTAATCAACGGGTGAAAGAAAAGAGATCATGATTCAAAAAATAAAACTCCTCTGTTTTAAAAAAAAAAAAAAAGGCTTTTGGGGTCCCCACAGACAAGATGAGCATCAAGTTCCAACTGACTCTTCATCTGGGTCTTCGAGGCCTGTCTGGTGTGACAGTTCTTAAGGTTTTTAATCTCATTAGCCTCCCGCCAGGACCCTGCTGCTCCCTCCAGCCACTTGCATCCTCCCTCAGGGACCTTACTTCTGCACTTTCCCCCATCCAAGTAGTAACCATGCCCGACCCTGCTTAGCTTCCAAGATCAGACGAGATCAGGGAGATCAGGCACACTCAGGGGAGTAAGGCCACAGTCCTGACTTCTGCACTTCCTGCTGCTCACCATGGATCTGTCAGCTTTCCTGAAGTTTCAGGTCCAGCTTGGACTGCTCTTCTCCAGGAATCCTCCCTCAACACAGGGCCCACCACAGTGGTCCAGACCCTTCAGCGCTGTTTCCCATGTGCCAGTGAAAGCTTCCTGAGGGTTAAGATGATGTCTACATTTCTTTTTCTTTTTTTTTTTTTTGAGACAGAGTTTTGCTCTGTTGCCTGGGCTAGAGTGCTGTGGTGTCAGCCTAGCTCACAGCAACCTCACACTCCTGGGCTCAAGCAATCCTCCTGCCTCAGCCTCCCGAGTAGCTGGGACTACAGGCATGTGCCACCATGCCTGGGTAATTTTTTATATATATATTTTTAGTTGTCCAGATCATTTCTTTCAGTTTTTTTAGTAGAGATGGGGTCTCCCTCTTGCTCAGGCTGGTCTCGAACTCCTGACCTTGAGTGATCCACCCGCCGCAGCCTCCCAGAGTGCTAGGATTACAGGCGTGAGCCACTGTGCCCGGCCTCTACATTTCTTTAACCCCACACAGTGCTTAGCAAAAGAGCAGGATCACAATAAAGCCTAAGGAACTAAAACCCCTCAAGTCCCCTCTCTGCTCTCCCCTTAAGGCCTTCTGTTTACTCTAAGAGCAAAACTCTTGTCCCAGCCCCAGGGCTCCAGCCCCATCAATTCTATGAATGAACTTTTTATTTTTTTTTTTGAGACAGAGTCTCACTCTCTTGCCTGGGGCGAGTGCTGTGGTGTCAGCCTAGCTCACAGCAACCTCACACTCCTGGGCTCAAGCGATCCTCCTGTCTCAGCCTCCCGAGTAGCTGGGACTACAGGCATGTGCCACCATGCCCAGCTAATTTTTTCTATATATTTTTAGCTGTCCAATTAATTTCTTTCTATTTTTGGTAGAGACGGGGTCTCGCTCTTGCTCAGGCTGGTTGAATGAACTATTTTTTTAAATGTTTACTGAACATGACAGTAACATGGTGCCTTTAAGAAGGCTGCCGGCCCACTAGCAAGCCACAGAGGGGACCTGGGTGGGACTTGACTGACCATTCTTTAGATGGGAGGAGGGGCAGCACAGCCTGGACCTGGGACGTCAGAGTAGCTCTAGCTTGGGCCCACAGTGCTGCTAAAGTACTCTATTCGGCTCACTTGGCACCTCATCCCTGCAAGGCCCCAGCAACAGTGAGTGAAACCAAGAAAAGTACTACAGTGACAGGATAGCACAGTGCTATGGAAGCCCCAGGAGAGAATCTTCACCAAAGAAATAGGAGCTGAGTATCAGGAGAGTGAGGGGATCACTGGCCCAGGAAAGAGAGGGGGAGGGCAGATTCTGGGCTAAAGGAACGGCTTCAGCACAGGCCTGATCAGACTATCCTTGGCATGAGCAGCCATAGGTACTGGCTTGGGGATTCCCAGCAGCAGCAGGATCCCGAACTGCCAATCTGACCCACAAGGCCCAGGTCTCTGAATGACCTACAGATCGGTAGCCGCCTTCCAGCTACCTAACGTGCCAGCATCAGCTGTTCACCTCTCTGTCAACTAACAGCGATGCTGGGCTCTATGGTCTTGATTTTCAAATATGAGGGAAAAGTAATTTCAGAAACCAAATATGACTGTCCTACACACTTCTCCATCATTAACAGTAATTGCAAAAGAGAGATAATCTCCAGGACCCCAAAAGACTATCACTCTGTGAAGCAATGACAATCTGGAGGGGAGCTCTCTGCATATGGGAAGCAAATGGATTCAGGGGATCACAGCGTTGTGACCTCCTTCTGTGGGGTTCTACAACCTCGGGCTCCACGCTGGGGCATGCACTGTGGGAGAGAAGGCCCTGATGAGCTAGAGCTGGGCAGGAGCAGCAATCAGGAAAAGTAGGAACAATTGGAGGCCTTGGAGGCATTTCCCATACGGAAGAGAGATTTGTGGAAGGCATGAAGCCATCCTCTTGAAGAGAGGATCAGAGATTACCCACCATAACCCTTAGCCCTGCAGTTACCACATCATTTTGAAACCACCTGCTTATAAACCCTCACCCCCTCCCCCAAAACCTCAGCTCCCTCAAGGGATCCTGTGTATGAGTCACTTCTGAGGGGCCAGCAACTAAGCCACAGCCAGGATACAGCAAGTGCTGAACTGAGAGTGGAAATGACAGGAAGGCTGATTATGGCTCAAGAAAGGTAAGTGCTTTCTAACAATCCCAGTTGCCTCTAGCTGGCCAGGATATTTGGGCGGAAACATTCCGTCAGGGAAGGTCTTCTAGCCATGGAACGCCCTCATGCTAACAGAGGAATGCAGAACAAAAAGGCCCCCTGAGATTTCTTTCAGTTCTAAGTAAGACCCAGCCTCCTGAAGCAGTGAAGCCCCAGGGGAGGAAATGCTCTGCTAGCACCTGCTCTGTGCCAGGCACACAGGTGCAGTCACTGCCTTGTTAACCCCCATAGTCCTGTGAGGTAAGCACTATTATTATTCCCATTTCGCAGTGGAGGAATCTGAGGCTCAGGGAGGTTCAGTAACTTGCCAGACAGAGCTAGGAAGATGTGGAGGTGAAATGCAAACCAAGACCACCAGGCTGCCCACCTGGGCCTAGGTTGAGAAAGAACATCTGCCCTCCTGGCTGTGCAGGAGGCAGCTCCAAGCCCTTTGCAGCTGAAGGCTCTCCAAGGGCAATACTATTAACTGACCTCATCTCCTGCTGATGCCAAAACTTGTCAAAAGTGTTTTTACATCTACAAGCCTAAGAACCCTAAGCCAACAGATGCAGCTCTAGGGAAAAACAGCTGGTCTGGAGCCATCTGTTCTGTGGGAGCCTAGGGGCTGCCCTCTCCTGGAGTCCAACCAAGGAACACAGGATGCTATGGGAGGGGTCTGGGAAGGCTCTCCTGGAGGAAGCAACATCGAACTAAGGATGTTGCAGGAGGCAACATCATTGTACTAAAACTTCAATGATGAGCTGGACAGGCATGGGCAGTGTGGGCAGCAGACGGGAAAGGGCATCCCAGACAGAGGAAACAGCAGGAGCAAAGGCAGAGAACCAAGAAGTGTGTGGAGAATCACAAGTCGTTTGGGGTTACCAGAACATAAAATTCAAATTGAACAGGGGAAGGACATAGTGATGAAAGAGGTAAGCAGGGGCTGCTGAATTATGAAGGATTTTGAATGCTATGCTAAGGAATCTAGACTTGATTTATCCTGAAGGCAATAAGGAGCCACTGAAGGGTTTTATGCAGAGCAGTGATAAGATCAAACCTCTACATTAGGAAGATCACAGGGGTAGCAACACAAGAAGCTGAGCTGCTGGCAGTGAGACTGCAGGTGTGAAAGCAATGCTGGAGTAATGCAGGCTGTTCAAGGCTGTTCCTACTTCAAGGATACGTAATTCCCAATAGGGCCAAACTTTCCACTCACTGGGCCCCCAAACCCACTCACACTGTCATGGACACAGGCCTGTATAAAAGCTACTAATTCTGTGGAGTCTCCCACACATCTTTCTTTAATGACAAGACTGCAGGGGGAGAAACAATGCTAATCTAAATGCCAATTACTGAACTCACTCCACGCCAGGCACTATGCCAGGTCCTTTACACAAACAATGTCAGTTGTGCACTCAACAACCCTATGAGGGAGGTGACTGTTGTTACCCACATTTTGCAGAGGAGGAAATTTAAGTTCAGAGAGCGTAGCTTACCAAAGGTCATCCAGCTACTAAAGGGAGGAGTGAGGATTTCAACCGAGTTCTACCTGTCAGCAGAGACTGCACTGTTAACCACTGCCAAGAAGACTGGAGAGGGAGGGCTGAGGGTTCTGAATCCCAGAGATCCTGTGAGGACCGTGTGAGCACGCCGACCCCACCCCCCGCCCCAGCTCCTTCAGGAAAATAATAGGTAGTACTCCTAGCCACAACCGCCGAAGAGAGGCTAGACGTGGGAAGCCCGATCCCAAACAAAGGGATCAGGAGGGACTCTGCTCTCGGCAGCCTTCGGCTACAAGGAGAGAAACGAGGGCATGGACCCGAGAACCCTAGATTGGAAAGACAGAAAAAAGGGCCCCAACCCAGCAGCTGACACGGACAAGGGGCGGGGCTCGGAAAGGAGGCGCATTTTGGGGCGGGGCTTACACGGGGGCGGGGCTCTCTGGGCCCCACAAAGCCTGGGACCAGCGGGACCGTACGAGGGGGCGGGCCACGAGAGGGCGGGGCCGCGAGAAGGGCGGAGCTACAGCCGCTCTCGCAACCGACAGACTCGTTAGGTCACCTCCCCACGACCGGACCCGACCTCGTTCCATACTCTGGCTCCAGCAGGGCTGATCCGGGATCTCGATGGTGTAGTCCAGCTGAGCTGAAGCCATGGTGAAGGCGCCGGCCCTCACCACGGGCCTCCTGCCGGAACTCCCGCTTGCGCACCCGTGCCTCACTCAGGCGCCTCCTGGGCACCGCCCAATCACCACCCACCTCCCCCGACACTGCCCAATCCCTGAGCCGCGCTCTGTGACCTCCCACCTAGCAACCACCGAGCCTCTCTCACAGCCTCTCACCGCACCCCACTAGCTCTGCCCTGGCAACCATGCCCCGCCCCACCCTAGCCCTGGCCCTCAGCCATTGGCTGGCTCGCTGGATCTGGATCAGGTATTGGTCAGCCGGGACGCCGGTCAGGAAGAGTTCCCACCCTCTTGGGTAGGTGAGAGTCAGCGGGAGAGTTGCTGTAGTCTGGGAATGGGGAGCGTCTTTCGTCCAAACGGAGTCTTACTACGTTGCGGAAGGCAGTACCCTTTGACTTGCACCGTCTAGCTACCTCTGCCATCCTCCACCAGCCGCAGCTTCGAGGGCTGGAGGTAGAAAACCGTACAAAACGGCCTAGGGGGCGCGTGTTCACCCATCCTCCACCCAGGGGGGTCTGACTGGGTGGGTGGGTGGGAGGCGGTCTTCAGTTGATGACTTTAGAGAATGCCGTGTTTGTGGGGGACATCAAAGGGCTGGGAAATACAGCTTTCTTGTATTTGTCCATGCATTCAACAAATACTTACTGAGCATCTGTTATGTGCCAGAGAGTGGACTAGGTGAGGTTCCTTGGGCTCTAATGAAGATCAAGCTTTTAGCCCTAACTCTTAATGGAAGAGGGAGAGAAACTATGCCAATTCTGTGCGAGGGATAAATACTACAGAAGAGTAAGAATAGAGCTCAGAATAGAGAGAAGGGGCATTTATGGCAGCGAGAATGGCTCCTGAGCTGGGCCTTGAAAAACTTGAGGTAAGGAGGGAAGAGTACTCCTTGCAGGAGCTCAAAGAGGGGAAAGTGAGGGGTGAGGGCCAGAAATTACATGCGGCATCTTTTGGCCAGAGGAGAGACTAATGTGAGAGAAATCTTGGAAGAACAGTTAGGCTTAGATCCTGGGGAGTGTTTGATGCCAAGCTCAGCTGTGTGTTTATAGGTAGATCTTGTTGATGGTAAAAATTTTCCACTGCATTTTATACCTATGAGGCAAAAGGCTTAGACTTTACTCTGAGGAAGTAGGAAGTCATTGCAGGGCTTTAAGCAGGGGAGTAACAATTAGATTGTTTCTTAGAAAAATCAGTGCAGAGAATGGATTGGGGATTGGGAGAAGGAGGGAGACCAGTTAGGAAGTTGTTTTAATAGTGAGGAAGAGGCCAGGTACAGTGGCTCATGCCTGTAATCCCAGGCATGGGAGGCCAAGGCTGGAGGATCGCTTAAGGCCTCATAGGCTTCAGCAACATAGTGAGACCCCATCTCTACAAAAAATAAGAAAAATTAGCTGGGCATGGTGGTGCACACCTGTAGCCCCAATGACTGTGGAGGCTGAGGCACCAGGATTGCTTGAGTTTGAGGTTGCAGTAAGCTGTGATCACACCACTACACTCCAGCCTGGGTAACAGAGAGAGACCCTGTCTCTAAAAAAAAAAATAGTAGAGAAAGATTATGGTGCAGAAAGCATGGAGTGGCAGCTGAAATGGAGAGCAGGGGATGGATTCCTTGGACACTTACAGCTAGAAAAAACTGGACTTGATGACTGGGTAGGTGTGGGAAGTAGGAGAATCGAATGATGACTTCTTGATTTCTGGTTTGGGCAAATAGGAAGGAGAGGAAGCAGGGTTTTTAGGAAGGAGTCAGTTCTGGGCATGGTGAGTCTGAGGTGCCAATGGAACCTCCAAGTGGAGAGGTCCACAAGGTGGTTGAATATGCCTGACTGGAGTTCACAAGATGACTGGAAGTAGAAATGTGTGTGTAGGGCCTTATAGATGCCAACCACTCCAGTAGATTTGTTGAGCTAGCCCAGGGAGTATGTGTAGAGTAAAATGAAAAGATGGCCTAGTGTAGAGCCCTGAAAAGCACCTAAGTTTGAGGGTCTACCAAAGGAGAATGAACCTACAAAGGTAATTGAGATGAAGTGTCCAAAATGGTAAAAAGATCAGTAGTAAAATATGGTGTTTCAGGAGTCAAGGGAGGAAAGCATTGAAGGCTGATGGCTAATCAAGTAAAATAGGTCTAAAAGAATCCACTGGATTTAGAAACAAGGAAGTTGTTGACCTTTGCAAGTACAGTTTTAGTGGAGTGATGGGAGCAGAGGTCAAATTACAGTGGCTTGCGAAGTGGATGGAAAGATGAGGAAGTGAAGATTGCATGTACAATGCACTTTCAAGAAGTGTGGCTATTTAGGAGAAGAGATAGAGAAGGCAATAACTGGAAGGAGACACAGGTTTTTATTCAGATGGGAGAAATGTTGTTGGCAGGGATCCAGCAAAGAAGAAAATGGTACAATTTTAGGGAAAAGAAGATAACAGAGAGTGGTGCTCCTGAAAAAGGAATAAGGTAGGGGATCCAAAGCACTGTGCAGAAATTCACTTAGAAAGGTGTAGGAACATTTGCATTATGGGAGAAGGAAAGCACATGAGTTGAGATTAGTACATTGGTAGGTTTGGTAAGGAAGGTTTGATGGTTTCTATTTTCTCTGTCAAATAGAAACATGCTATCAGCCAGTGAAAGTGGGATTGGAGTGGGGTGTATGAGGTTGAAAAGAGCAGAGAAAGATTAAAATAGCAGCAGTGGAGCATGGGAGCAAAATGACTAAGATAGCATGCATACTTCTAGGCAGTTATGATGGCCCTGTTGAGGTTGTTGACCATTAATTTGTAGCAGCAGCAGATTGCATGGTTATGTAATATGCATTTTTCCCCCAACAACATTCAGCCTAGTGGTGGGTGTGGAGAGGTTCTGAATTGATCTAGGTTTGAGTTTTACCAGGTGGATGCAATGGAAAGACAAAGGACAAGAAATTTGAGGATCTTGGCAAAAGAATGGTTGAAATGAAGGGCCTTAGAAGCTAAACTAGATAGGAGAGTAAAAAAGTCTTATGGACTGGAGGTCCCAATGAAGTCAGAGAACCCATGTCTTAGAAATAGTTGAATGAGAGAGTTGTGATCAGAAAATAGAGTAATAAAATTTGAGTAGTTCCAGGCGATGACAAGGTCCAGGGTGTGGCCATGGGAGTGAATGGCCAAAGTGGAGTACAGGAGACAGGATGCTGCAGTGGCCATTGAAATACCTCGGGATGGTGGCAAGACTTGAGGAGGGAAAATGGAAGAGGATGCTTGTGGGCTAGGTACCAAAGTCTTTGATGAATAAAGCAGGCTGTTCTGGAGCCTCTAGATCACCAGTCCCCAACCTTTTTGGCACCAGGGACAGGTTTCATGGAAGACAATTTTTCCACAGATGGGGGTGGAGGTGGGGTAGGAGGCAGAGCTCAGGCAGTGATGCAAGCCATGGGGAGCAGCTACAAATACTGATGAAGTTTCACTCACTTGCCCACCACTCACCTCCTGCTGTACATCCCCCCGCCATTTCCCCCTCTTCCTAACTTTCATGGAAGACAATTTTTCCATGGACGGAGGCAAGGTGGGGCAGAGCTCTGCAGCCTGGTCCCTAACCAGGGGGTTGGGGACTGCAGCTCTAGATGACAGCATGACGAGGGGCAAAGGTCGAGACAGCTGAATGCCATAACCCTCAAAAATGAGTTGGAATAGGAAACTGGGTTGGCCAGGCACGGTGGCTCATGCCTGTAATCCTAGCATTCTGGGAGGCCAGGGCAGGAGGATCACCTGAGGTCAGGACTTTGAGACCAGCCTGAGCAAGAGCGAGAGCCCTGTCTCTACTAAAGATAGAAAAATTAGCCAGGCATGGTGGTATATGTGCCTGTAATCCCAGCTACTCAGGAAGTTGAGGCAGGAGAATCACTTGAGCCCAGGACTTTGAGGTTGCTGTGAACTAGGCTGATGCCACAGCACTCTAGCCCAGGTGGCAGAGTGAGACTCCGTCTCAAAAAAAAAGGAAGTGGGTTGGCCTTTGGTGAGGAAACACCAGCACCCTTCCCAACCCTTAGATCCTGGGGGTGTAAGAGCATAAGCAGCCTCCACCAAGGGGGGCATGCAGAAGTGGAGCCCTGGGGTCTAGCCAGCTGTGGGCGCAGGCTGGAGGTGGGCAGAGTGGCTGGAGAAGCTGAGGGTGGAGGAGACTAAGCTGATCAGGAACAAGGGTTTTCAAGGGCAGAGTAAGAAGGGTAGGAAGGGAAGGAAGGATAGGAATGAGTCAAGGAAGACAAAGCATAGAGCAGTGGAGGGATAAGGAGAGCATGGTTGACCTAGGGAGTTACATTTTGTGGGGAGAGCATAAGGGAAGGTTTGTAGAGTAGAGTTGCAGGCAGAAGTGAGCCTGGGGAGAGGAAAAGTGGGGTCTGTGGGTAGAGAATAAGTGGTGAGTCTGGCAGAGGATGAAGGCAGAGGGTTTTATAGGAGGAAGATGGACCAAAGGAGGTTGGTGGGGAGAGGACAGAGGAAAAGGGCAGATGTGGGGAAAAGATGGGGGCAGATGGAATCTGTAGGGAAGTGATGGTTGGCAGTGGAGGGGAGGGGTCTGTGAACAGGGCACAAGTCGGGAGCAGAAGGGGGGTCCATGAGAAGGAAGTGACAAATTGGAATGCATGTGCCACTGAAGTGGAAGTAAAGACAAGGACACCCTCTTTGGCTGGGCTGAAAGATTGAGGGAATAATGTTCTCTTTTTCTCTATTTCTATCTCTATCTCTGAATGGAGAACTGAGAGTAAGGAGTCAGGGATGGGAGCCTAAGGAGAAAGGCCTCTGTCTCATTCTGCATGTGAAACTTGCAGGAACAAGATAGTGACTGCCTTGTTGTCTCTGAGGCCATCTGGGGACAAGTGAGACAGGCTGGCAGCCCATGCCTTGGAGGCCTCTTGTTTTTAGAAATGTGCTTTTTGATGATAGGGAAGAAAAAGCTCTCTGGGAGATTTTATTTAGCAACAAGACCTATTGACCTCTTGATTTTTAATACCTCCCTTTGCTTGTTGCTAAGGACCTTTGGCTTAGCATGGGAGCTGGGTTTTTTGACATTTTGTGATTTTTGTTTCCCTGCATGAAGAAGAGCCATTTGGCTGCTATAGAAATGATTTATGGATGAGTCCAGATATATTAATCACCTCTGAAGAT